GATAGGAGACGAAAGATTACAAGGTATCCAGGAAGTCAGATAAGTCAGGACCTAAGGAGTAGTAGGGATACATAGCAGAGGATAGCACAAGGTCGAGTCACCTTCAATAAAAAGAAGTCACTTCTATGCTTGCTATCGGTTAATTAAGAAATTCGAAAAAGATTGTTAAAGGTGTATGTTTGGAGTGCGGCGCTGTACGAGTGCGAAACATACAAACAGAAAAGGAAAGGTTAGAAGCGTTAGAAATGTAGTGTTACAGGCGAATATTGAGGATACCATGGACAGAGAAAGTTAGAAATTAAGAGGTATTAGAAAGAGATAGGTTGGTAGGATGCTTTCTCAGGCATGAAGGTCTAATTAGAAACGTATTAGAGGCAGAAACAGCAGTTACGAGGAGGAGAGGTAGACCTAAATTAGATTACTGTTCGCAAATGGTTCAGGATGTGGGATTTTCTAGTTTTAGGGAAATGCCAAGATTAGCTCTGGATAAGAAAGAGTGGAGATGCGTATAGAACCAGTTTTAGGACTGACGACCTTATGATCATGCATCGCGAAACCATAATTGAAATGCGGTGCTCTATTTGCTTCAATAACACGTGTTTTCTTTTGTGAAATATGACATTTTATGAAGTACATGGCAACTACCAACACTCACGTGACTGCTGTTTTCTCCTACCACAACCTTACTATCCCAAGCGCATCCTTTAAACCAATAAAGGAATGGTATTTAACGAATCAGAGCGCCGAATTTAGCTATAGTGCATATCAGGATGGAACATTGGTGGATGATGGTATTTGGATTTATTAACTTTTTAATTTACTAAGTTTTATGCATATAAGCAAAATATTGAAGTTGTTTTTTATACGTCGATATATTTAAATTATTCGTTTTTGTTTTGTTTGTCCTCTCGGGAAATATATCAGCCGTTGCCGATTCTTAGATGGAGTTTGACAATTTTACGAGTATAATGGAAAACGTTTTTGTCTTGTTGAATATTTAATGGTTTATTGATTTCTTTGTAATTCTTTTGTTTTTTGGTAGAAGATTAGTGTAAGTCATTGCACTAAGTTCTAACTCATTAATTTATAAAAAAAAATGTCACAGACGTTAATTTTTAAATAAATAGTAACAGCCTACTTATAATGATTTTTATAAGGTATTCAGGGTCGCTTTTATCAGTCATCCGTAAACCTTAATAGTCAATAGACTGGAGTCAATTTTATGCATTATAATTTTTATTTTAAACCAATGAAATGGGGTCCGTAATATCTGCACATCTATTAAAACAATTAATTGAAAGATTAAAATAAAACTTGCAGATATTAAGGGAAAAATTAGAAGCAAAAAATCAGATAATAAATCTGGATACCTACATATCATAACAATAACTAACAATTTTACTAACTAGGTACAATAAAGTATTGTACTGGTAAAAGTGTTTCCTTGAAATTTCGAAAAACACAACATTAAATTAAAATAATCTGCTCATGCTCGTGTGATTTATTACAAACGATCGTTATAGATTTTCAATCTTGATATTTTTTATTGCATGTTATTATTTTTGCTATTCTATTCTGTTGCAACAACAAAGGGGGCTACTTTTTGTTTAATGTAGCGTATCTTCATAATACCCTGTAACGTTTTCTTTTATTTGAAGTGATATATGTTTGCATGTTTTGTTTTCCATTACATCATTTTAACACGCACTAAACTCAAATTATTATAAATTGCATTAGATTGGCTAAAGATATAACATGAAAATATTGTAATGTAACTTCTAAGACGAAAACTATTTATTTACACTAATTATTATTGAACTTAAAAAACACTATTAAATCATTACTAAACTTAGGTAATTATCCTATTTATTTACACTACTGTTGATATATCACTATTCACTGCCTTATTTGTTTCAATGCTGTCACTGACAATTTATTTCTGGACTCACTTCTGCAACGGTCAATTTATTTCTTCTCTTTTCGGCGATCGTCTCTTCCTTTAAATACTCTTTTGTTTACTTTCTGGAACCTTCTGGAAACATCCGGATAGTTTATTTTTTCTTTGAATTGTTTATTGCTTTCCCAGAACGCTGGTACGACACACACATTTACAAATACGGCGCACATGAAGAAAGGCGCCCGCGGCTAATCGGCGAATCGATAAGCCGCTCACACACAAGTATGCCCGATCGCACACAAACACGCTCATGCTTGCTATAATATTTGCTGTTTTTTTCTTCGTCGTTCAGACTGTTGCTGTACTAGTTGCAATTCTTTATAATTAATAATTTTAGCTCATCATCATCATCATCGCGGGAATGTAGAAGAATCCAATAAAAGGCGAACACCTTGTGTATATTTATGTATCTGTTATACTCAATTACCAAATTCGATCACAGACCTATATTTGTACTCAGAAAACGCGATATCACTGTGGGAATCATAAATATTAATGGGTACCCACAACGCAAAAATACAAAATTTTAAAGTTAAAACTGACAAGTTGTAAAATTTCCGTATCACACCTTTTTCAAAAACTTAACAATTGTTTCCCTGAAAATGGCTTAAAGTGGTCAAATTATGAAAAAAATCCATGCGGAAGGACAGGGAATGGCCTTCTATTTCGGTAAATCACACGCAGGTTCATATTCCTACAAACGAGTCTCGTCACCGTAACGGATCATAATGTTCCGGCAGGAAAAGGCAATACTAACGAAGTGAACGATTTCGTAATCACTTCAGTCCTTTTGTTTACAGGAATATAGATTTGTGTATATATAATAATACGCAACAAAAAACAGTTTACTTATTGTTGTGTTAAAAAACAAATTAATGAAAAAGGACCTTGTTAAACATCAATTAATTAATAACAAATCTTTACAATGTTGGCCTTACTACATGAGGCGCCCTTTAGCTGTAAATACATTGTGTTATCTAATCAAATTTCAAAAATTCAGTGTGATCATTTATCAGTAAATTTAATGTTTAATAATCCCACCAATGTTCCAATCATTCTATTTTGAAATAACAAAAAATTTGTATTTGTGATACTCGTTTTCATGCACGTAGAATGTATCGCGAGTTCCCGGGGGAGAGACATTGATTAACTTCGTTTGTGCGCCACTGGACTGAATGTAGGTACAATTTAAATTGTTGCAACTGTCTTTTAAGTCAGAGTATTAAAAATTATTAAACGCCTTTATTGATTGGTCCTTGAACCTAGAACGAGGATGGCCTTCTAGGAAAATTCTGTCATTAATAAATGAAGTATAAATTACGTTTTGAAATTCTCTTTAAATCCATCTTTCCGAACAAATGCTTTTTTCTCACATTTATTAATATTCAAAGAATCAAACTAAATTGTCATATTTTTAACATTATTGTTTGTTATTTACCTAGCACACAGTTGCCATTATATTGTTATAAATAATTACTGTATCGTTTTTAACAGCTCTTAATTTTCACCTTTGCAATGTTTGTATTTCACGTTATTAGTGAATCGATATGACACTTGGGAAACTTTACTGGAAAAACAGATAACTATGTTTGTAAATTACCTTACGTAAACCTTTGCATTGAATAGTTTGTCTCAAAAGAATCGATGCCTATAGATAGTTTAGAATGACATGAGCCTTCATATGCTCGAGAGGCTGGTCCTATCGTATTTATATGGTACATTACGAAAACATTGACTGGGCTGTTCTTCTATTTCTTCTACTGTACTGCTTGTACAACCAGAGAAGAAGGAGCTTCAGATAATCTGTAAAAAGTGACCGACAATGTTTTTAAGAAGTAGAAATGTGTAAATCAATGAACTGCACAATCCAAAGCTGATTCATGTCATTCTGAATTACCTCTACCGCTCGAACATTAGAAATGGTAAAAATTACGTTATTTACTTAAATAGAGGTAGTGCTGCGCCTTTTTCCTTATATCTGAAACAATTAAATACCAAATACCAAAAATTATTTGTAATTCAATGGATTAAAAAAACTATATGTTCCCAACACTTTTATTACTCAATAATTTATTTGAGATGGTATCACTTAAATAATTTTTGTAAGACGTTCTTGCTTGGCTTTTGTTTTATTATTTTCTTTACTTTCTAAAAAAAGAAACTTTTTACTCTACAATTTTCCCGTGATGATGTCCATATCGCGTGATTATTAAGAAAGTCAAATCATTTAATAATATAATATAAACCGTTTTTGTTCTTGGCGGTAAATCGTCTAAAGGTTTACTATTTTTATAAACTAATTAAGGTAAATGAATTATATATACTTATTATATCATACATAATAAACGGTAAATTTTGAATTAATTGTTTTTTTTTTAATTTTTATTTATTTAAGAAGAATTGAATTACTTTTAATATGCCTGTTTAATGCATCCCTAACAATGAGGTAACACCGACAGGTTGTGTCATGAAATTACCTTTCAAACCATAACCCAACCATCACGGAAGTTTTCTACAGTGAATATCACTTATCCGTAGTGCAAGGTACTTGCCTGTGGTCTGTAACACTTATCTACAGAACAAAGCACTATTTTTAGTGCAGATGTTTTATTCGATCCTATTTTCATTGGTCAAAAAGCTTGAAATATATTTTCAGATGGCATATTACCTATTTTTGTAACTTATTGATCTTTACTTATTAAAATTCATTTATGGTGAAAAGCATCTACGTTATGTTATACTTTAATATTTATTTACTTTATTTGAAATGAGAATTCTAAATCAAGAGACAGCAGCTTGTGGAAAAGCGGACAAGGCCGACTAATAAGTGTTAGGTTTTAATTTTTGTTTCCCAGATTCATACTAATTAAGATTACGGCTCATATAAACGAGTACAAGGTTGTCATAGTTTATAGACACTGTTCGATTTAGTAAATAAAAACAAATGTTTCGTATTTTACTGATCTTAAATCTCAACAGCTGCGTGCTGATGAAATCTAATGGTTGTTTCGATAACTATAGAGCTATTTGTTTTGTTTTTCAGATCGGTCCATGGAAGGAGCGGTCAAAGAAATTGGCACACCGGGTGGCCAACGGTTTCGACCAAATGTGCGCCATCGTCAAGGGTCTAACACCCCTTTTACGTGTTTTCCTGTTATTACACCGACCTAACACGCCCTATCAGGCAAACTAATACGTTGTTCCTACCTCATAATCGTTAATAATAATATCAGTAATATATCAATAATAATAATCCTGTATTTGTTATTGTCTGTTGCCGAACCTTTAGAGAAAATCTTTATCGAAATCATAATTACAATTTGCCAAATTATGTAATAATAATAATAATGATTATTATGATGATGATAATAACAATGATGATGATACGGCGTTACGAAACGAGGTGCCTTGCGTGTGAAATTGTGGCCTTATTTAAACACCAAGTGGTTGTGTAACCTACCCGTTCGCATTGCCTTAAGGAATATGGCCAGGACTTCGCTAAGAAGTTCAAGGACAAGAAATTTGGGTGAGTTTATTAGCTACATTAATTAATGCCCGAAAATGGTAATAATAGTCATACTTATGCATTTCCCTAAACAAAAGCTGCAATGGTTTTTAATTGTATATTTTATGAATTCCAATTTTGCCACACGGGCGGCCCGGGGTTAATTCCCTTAATTTTTTTTTAATTTTCTTTTCTTGCCTTAACGGCAACATACACAAGTGCATTATAATTTACCAGAAGTTTCGACGTTTACGTGTTAATTTGATGACTTTTTAATTTTGTGGATATGCTAGATATAGAATACACGAGGTCTGCCGTTTTTATCTCTTTAATCGTAGCGTAGCGTCATCCTTTCGTGGACCTCTTCAGTTTCGGGAACAAGAAAAAGTCACAGGGGGCCAGATTTGGGGAATACGGTGGCTGCGACATTATTAGTGTGTTGTTTTTGGCCAAAAATTTGCGCACAAGGACGTGTGAGCAGGGGCGTTATCATGGTCCCAAACGTCAAATTTTGTTCTTCCACAAATCCGAGCGTTTCTGGCGGATTGCATCGCGCAAATTGCGCATAACTTGCAGGTAATATTCCTTATTAACCGTTCTACCCTGTGGCAAGAACTGCAATCGAAGAAAACTGTAAACAAACACTTCACATTCAATATAACTTGGAGCGCTTTTTTTGGTTTTGGTTCGTACGGCAGCTTCCATTGGTATGATTGAGTTTTGGTTTTCACGTCATAACCATAAACTTATGATTCGTCACCAGTTATGACCATCTGGAGCAAATTTGGGTCGTCGCGGACAGAGCCCAACAGCTCCTTAGTAAAGTTAATGCGATGTTGTTTTTGGTCGAAATTGAGCAATTTTGGTATGAATTTGGCAGCGACTCGTCTCATGCCCAAATCATTGGTAAAAGTCGAAGGGCAGGAGTCATATCGATTGACTTCATGATGCACCACGCCTCTGCAATAGAAGAAAACTAGAAGCAAAACCTTCACATTCGATCTAACTAGGCCCGCTTTTTTTGGTCTTGCCTCGTCCGGCAGCTTCCAATCGGATGATTGGGCTTTGGTTTCCACGTCATAACTATATACCCATGATTTGTCACCAGTTATGACCCTCTGGAGCAAATTTGGGTCGTCATGGACAGAGGCCAACAGCTTCTTGGATTAATGCGATGCTGTTTTTGGTCGAAATTGAGCAATTTTACTACAAATTTCGCGGCGACCCGTCTCATGCCCAAATCATTGGTAAAAATCGAATGGCAGAAGTCAATCGATATGTTTAGGTCCTCAGCAACTTCTCCAACGATGATTCCCTGATTGGCCAATACTATTTTTCTCACTTCATCAATGTTTTCGTCTGTTGTTGACGTGCTCGGACATCCGGCACGATCTTCGTCATTCACATCCTCTTGGCCCTCTGGGAACATTTTGTACAACCGATAAACGTTGCTTCGGTCCAAGGTAGCTTCACCATATGCCACAGTCAACATTCGGAATGCGACCGCGCACTTAATTTTGTTTTTCACACAAAATTTGATACAGATTCTTGGATCCATTTTTTGAAATAGGCAAAAATCGAAGACGAGCCAAAACACGTGCAAGCAAAGCAGCTGTCAAAAATTAACTGAACATTCAACATAGCCGAACTTGTAGATAAGAATCGAAAATCAAATATACGTAACCCACGGAAATTTGCGATACTTTTTGAACAGAGCTCGTACGTATGAATTGGTAAAAAAACCCTGTGAGTCATTGCCAGTTTTCTTTCTAAAATACTACTAATAAATCTATTTCCCGGTAACGCTGCTGCTCCCAATAAAGCGGCGCACCTTCGAAGGAAGTGATAAAAGCGTCCGGTGTAGATTTTCTTTATGGCGGAAACGCTTTTCTTATCACGAGAGACAGAAGTTTAATTTTAGTAGAGGTTGACTTAAACAGGACAGTCAGAATTTACTTTGAACCATTAAAGTAATGTCAGGGTAATAAAATTTTTTTTAGAAACAAAAAGATAACCGGTGTGCCCGACGTTCTAATTTTATTAAGGGTGTTTCTTTCTAATTAATTTATTGTATATACCATAAGCAGTAGGGTAATCAAAAAGTTATATTTTATGCTAGAATAACATTTATTTCAAAAAAAAAAGTATTGACAATAAAAAATTGTTGAAACTGTTTCTAATGGTTTATAATAAATACAATTGTAATGACCAATAAAAAAGAAATCTCTGTATGGGTGCAGACGTAGACGGTGGACGCTTCAGAAAAGAAAAGAAAATTTGAGGTTCACATTAATGTGTGTAATAAAATTATTAAATATTACCACTATTAAAAGTAAAATTTCTTAGCGCATTAAAGAGATTGGGAAATAATATTTATAATAGAACTACTAATAAAAAGTAACACACATATGTATATTTACATAAATATACATTTAATTTATTATTCGAATATTGGTACTTTAGAAAAAGGATCAGGAAGTTCCGATATAAATAGATACGTATAACAACAAAGGAAAAGATTTGGTCACCTTACAGACCTCGTAATTTGTATAATAAACACAATAAATTGGAAATTCCTTGTAGTCTATCTAGTATTATTACAAAAGTTGTTTAGAAAGCAAACTTATGGATTGTTGCTGTAGACATTCTTTTATATGCTAGTACATTCCATTTCTGTATGAGAAGGTAATCTTCGTTTATTAAAATTCCATTAACTGATTTCTATAATTTCCTCAAATAAATTGCTTTAAGACATATGGGCTTCATAATTTTCAGAATATAGTAATTTAATATCCGCATTAATTGTTTAAAATGACGAATACCGAGTGCTTGGTTTACTCTAAACAATTATATTGTAAATATAATATGAAGTGATTACAGAGTGTGCCAACTTAGGGTAGTAGGTATTTTCTTTTGATGGTCTGCCAATGTTAAAAGTTGTTGAGTTAAAAATTTTCATTGCAAAGCTGCTGTCTCAAACGTTTCTATCAATATTGTATATAAAAAAAATATGAGTACTGTCAGCACAGGGCAAAGTAGTAATATTACGTAAATGAAAGTTAGTATCAGCAATTTCTTAAGCTGAAGTGTACGATGTGTTGCATACCTATTTACAAACAATTCCTTTAAATTTTAATCATTGATTACTATACATCTATTAAAAAACCATAATGGCCGACATCAGTGACAATGCGACAACAATTAAAAAAGAATGATGGCCGACAACAGCAACAATTAAAAAAGAATGATGGCCGACAACAGCAACAATTAAAAAAGAATGATGGCCGACAACAGCAACAATTAGAAAAGAATGATGGCCGACAACTGCAACAATTAAAAAAGAATGATGGCCGACAACAGCAACAATTAGAAAGACTGATGGCCGACACTACGTCATAGTACTGTTCACAAAAGTGAATTTCGACCACTCGAAGCAATGGTGCTAACAGTTTCGACCTCACAGTGACTGATAGGGGAAAGAACTAGTTTTGTTAACAAAAAGAAAAACAATTTTTGTATAAGTAGGTAATTCAATGGTTTTCGGTTTCTGTTACCGATAAAGATTTTTCTTCTGCACAATTCTGCGTGAAATTGAAGTCTGAGAAAAATGAAGTATCATTCGTTTCTATTAGCGGAGATTTAGTTTGTTCACAGTATAGAGTGACTCATGACGCAGATTTTACGGTACGCGATGTTCACATTATCGAGTATCTGCTATATTAATATTGACTTCACATAATTTTGTTATAGTAAATTTTCATGGTCAATTCCAGTCATGTACTACTTGTTCATTGAAATTATTGATTGCAATGATGATTACTAAACAATAAAATTACCCAAATTATAACCTACACACATTTATTCTTATTGGTAATTGTAGACATCAAGTAAATTTTTGATGAAACAGGTAAATTTTTATAAGAGCTTGTTTGTTCTTTAACAAGTTTTAGCTTATTTAGTTAAACTAGTGCTTTAACTGTATCGAAATAGGTCAACGTTTAATGTGAAATTCGATTACCTTCTATGTACACAAAATAATGCTTATATATACAGCCTAATTTCAACTTTATGGTTGTCATTAGCGCAGGATAATGATACCCTTACCTGTGTCACTATCTAGACCTATCTTATATTGTACTTACTTAGATTAAAAACAAGCCCTAATAACTTTTCATGTCTCCTCAAATAACTAGGACATATCTGCACTTTAAAAGAATTAAATTAAAATTTTCATATGCATTTTTGATGTTCGTGACATTTAGCGAATTATACATACAAACAATACATTACCTACATACTTTCCTTATCGTATAGCTAAAATAATAAATTCTAAAAATTGAGCGCCATATAACAAGTAATATTTAATGGCAAAAAAAATTGATTATGAAACAATTTTTTTAGTTCTATTTTTCTTCTAAATTAAAAGCATTAAATTTTGTTTTTTCCTGTTATTTGGGGTAAAAGTTATTTGCAGTTTCAGTTGAGGGAATTAGTTTTTGGTTTTTAAAATGCCTAAGTTATAGTATTTTTTAAATTCAACGAAATTGTAATGTTGATAATATAATTATTGTCTTTTTGTACATACTACGTAGAAATGCTATTTTGGCTTTATTAACTGTTGTATTTTGTATGAGTACCACTGTACATAAGAATGATCATAGCGCCATCTATAAGGCAAGGAGCGAACTGTTTGCTGACTGGAGATAAAATTCTATATTATCGGTATTCAATCCTATAATTTTCTGTCAAAAAAGAAAGAAACGTCAATTCATGTCAGTTGGTTGGTTAATTATTGCACGTCGTTAGTACCGACCTGCCGACTGTTAGTAATGTCACAGTCAGTTTTTATGTCAAATATTATTAATACGTTGACTGTTGAATTTATATCAAAATTGAACATGTTAATAATAATTACTTTACGTCTGTATAACACTTAAAATGTAAATATAATTAAATTTTTACCGCGACGGTTAAATAATGTGTAGTTCCTTCAGTATTTTTTTATGCTGACTAGTGAGAAAGCGAAAGTTTTTTCTTCCTGCATGTAAAAATGTTTTAGTTATAACAAATTATAAAGAATTGGTTTTTAACTCACATCCTTCACGCTCTCTTATTTATGTATTTTCAAGAATGGAGTATGAATTGGAAGTTTTTGAAGTGTATGATGATAACGAAGCTCCTGCTACTAAGAAAAAAACTAAGTTTACCAGAAAAAAGTGCAAACAAAAATCTAAATCTACTTCATTAAATATTGACAATAGTGATATAGACATTAGCACCAGATCTAGAACTCATACCAATAATGAATCTCGCAACAGAGCTTTAAGTCTGAGGCAGTCACTATTAAATATCTGTAGCAAACTCGTAATATGGAAGAATCAACGTAGATATCACTCCACTATTCCTGATAAAATTGATTCTCCACACACCTCAAAGGACTCTAGAAGAGGTTTTATACCCTGCGGTAAGTTAGCTATTTAGATAATATTAAGGGCATATTGCTCAATGTTAAATTAATGGAATATGCAAGAAACTTTGCTCAGTGAGATAAAAGAGAAGCCTAGATACATTTCAACTATTATTTGTTATCAAGGACAAACAACAGACAATTTTAAACTCTTGTAAGGTAATTTAAACTTTTCTTATTTAAGGAAATACTAAATACCCAGGTTTAATTCAGACAAATACTGTTTCTGGGGCACCAATTGACAGTAATTCACTGACATTAGGTACTTGGTATTTGTAAATATTTTTCACCCCGTCAATTTTAATCAAACCCTTTTTTATTGGTATAAAAATTATCTTCTCTACTCTATTACTGCATTTGACCTCATCAGTATCAAGGATTACTAATAAAAAGTTGCTCAATATTTATGTTGATCATCAATAAATTAAACGTTGATAAATATTCTTGGTTCATTAGTATGACATCGAATACAAATTGCAGAACGCTATCAATACAGTCAATATGCACGTTAAAGACTAAAAATAGCTTATAGAAAAATATCTGCAGTGACTGCCTGAAGAGTGGTCTTAGAGTTTTTCTCTGTTCGCTTCCAGTTTCTTGGTTTAAATATAAATTGTTTCAGGAGGTAGTTGTTAATATGCTGGTAACACTTTTAATCGGTTTTATTCGTTATCCTGTCTGATAATATATTCTACAGGACTTTTTAAGTAAACACGTTTGTGGTATTTATCATCCAATAGCTTCTTTAATTAGGTATCTAGTTAGTAGCTACGAGGATAAGTTTTGAAAATGAAATTTATAAATTTACCACTACACCCCGCTGCATTATTTTTTTTTGAATATATGTATTACTAATTATAAAAACAGAATCTGAAAACTGACTATTTTAATTGTATCATGGAGTTTTTTTTTTGCTATACCTACCTGGAATATTTTTGATCATAGTCAATTTAATTGGTGGATATGTCAAATTAAACAAAACAAACACGATCAATACCTAAACAATCGGTATCATTCATTTGTTTATGTTTCA